GTGTGTGTGTGTGTGTGTGTGTTTTGCTTTAAACATGTTTGTTTGGGTTCCCCTTAAGGTGTTAATACTGCTTTCTGAATCCTGAATCCTTGCTACCTTGACACTGTCTCCCTCTAGTTCTGATTACAGCCCCTCTGCAGCCCTGATGTGTGGCAGAACTATTGACCCTTCAGTTAGAAAGCAGATTCAGGTTTACTTAAACCTATCACATTAAAAAAAAAAAAAAAAAAAGATCAAAAAAAAAAAAAAAAAAAAGATCAAGCCAGCTGCCATTGAGTCAATTCGGACTCAAGGTAACCCCGTGTGTTGCAGAGTAGGACTATATACCATAGGAGCTTCATGGCTGTGATCTTTAGGAAGCAGATCTGCAAGCCTTTCATCTGGGGTGCCTCTGGACAAATTTGAACAGCCAACCCTTCGGTTAGTAGTTAAGCATCCACTCAACTGTTTGTACTACCCAGGGATTCCCTAAACTCATCAAAGTGATATCATTTAAATGCTTGAATTTCCTCTGGCTTCACATAAACAAGAATTCCAGTGCAAGTAATTGGTATGGGAGAGGGAGGGAACAGCAGCAAGAGAAGGAGGGAGTGAGATAGGGAAGAGAAAAGCCCCCAAGGAAGATCAATTGGCAAGCCCATTGCCATCAGGGGCAACTGCAGCTTAATCCCCCTGAGAAGGTACAGAGACTTGACTCATTGGAAGAGTGTGGAAGCTGGAGTATTTCCTGGTTCAGGGTTTCTCCTGAAGGCATGAGTTCCTCAGCATTAGAAGACTGCCCTGTGCAGGAACCAGGGATCATTCCCAGTTTTGGAGGAAGTCCTAAAACCAAGAGACACAGTCAAGGCAGAACTAGGATGAGGTAAGTGAGGTATGTAGACACCTAATTTAAGGAGGCACTCAGTTTAAGTGCAGGGCTGCCACCTGAGAGTAAATTGTTTCTTAAGTGTTTCCGCCCTAGAGGCTTCCCTCTCCTCATCCCATCCTGACTCTGGGTGTTGCAGCAAACAAGTGGTGAGGCCAAGGAATGAGGAGGCATTCCTTTCTCCTCTTCTTCTCTCTGCTCTCTTCATTCAAGTTTGATATATTCTTCCTTATTGGAATATCATCATCCCAAGTGCCATCTTGATTCATCTTTTCTTCATCCATCCTTTCTAGTATTCTGTATCATGTTTGGGAAGCGAGAAGAGAGAGACCCATTGCTGAAGCCCCACAGGGTGGGTGGAGGAAAAAGACCAAGGCTTCCCCAAATTTAGTCCATATTTACTGAGCACCAAGCAAATGGGAAGCCAGAGTGTGAGACAGTCCTAGTCCTGCTGTCATGGAGCATCGATTCTAATGAGGGAGACAGCCTGCCAACATAGAGTCATCTCCAGGCCTCTCAAGTCACAACCATGGGAAAGATACCCGATGACAACAACAACAACATGCCTAAGAAGAAGACTTCATTGTGGTCGTTTACAGAGAGCAGAGTAAGGCTCAGAGTGGTCACCCAAGGTCACACAGTCTACATTTCAGTGGGCTCTATCTGAACTCCATCATCGGTCTGTCAATTTGTCACACTGTGGTGGCTGGTTGGCATGTTGGCATGATGCTGGAAATTATGTCACCAGTTTGTCAAGTATCAACTGGGTCATCAATGATGGACAGAATTCAGAGGCGCTTCCAGACAGGCTAGGAAGAAGGGCCTGGCATTCTACAGCGTAATATTATCAAATGGAAACCTTAAGTATCATAACAGAATATTGTCTACCATAGTGCTGGGAGATGAGCCTTCTAGCTATTATGTCATAGCTGCAAAATGGATGCAAACATACCAACAAGCATGAAGGTGGCACAGGACTGGACGACATTGCATACTGCTAGCCTTAAGGTCATCACGACTTAGAGTAGACTTGAAAGCAACTAACAATGACAACCATCTAAACTTGTCATCTGATAGGAAGGTGGACAAGTGGCAAGGCATTTTAAGGAGCAGAGGGAACTGGGGACTGGTCAGAGGGAATAAGCCACCTTGACTTGAATGTGTGCCCTCTGGGATCAGGAGCTGTGTCTCCAGTGGCCAGCACAGGGTCTGGCTCAGAAGAGACCCACGTGCCTTAGGACTTCAATAAATGTTTGCTGACTCTTTGAACATCTCTTTCTAATGCTTAACTTGCAAGCAACCTAGCTGTCTGTATTCTTATCTTCAGAGACAAATTATAAATGCTTTCTGATTAGTTTCATCATTCATAGTCCGTTCCTAAATCAGCACAGGAAACAGCTAAGCTAAAACTTCTGCCTCTTTCTTCATTAACAAGCTGTTTCTCTTACTCTTTTTTCCTCCAAGTTTTTTCTTAGGCAAAGTCTAGACAGTTTAAAAAAAAAGAAAAACAAAACAAAACACTGAACTGTGCTAGAAATAATTTGTTATTCAGGATCCTTGCACTCTTACTCTTTTGTGTGTGTGTGTGTGTGTGGTTGTTTGTTTGTTTGTTTTTAGTTATGTTGGACTAGCCTGAGAGCTGAGACCAAGGAAAAATACTCTTCCAATTGGTGAGATGTCAAAAGGTCCAGGATAGCTCCACAAAGTCAGACAAAGGGTGTTGTGGATTCCTATTCTAATCAGAATTTCGTTTCAGAATTTTGTCAGATGACTTTGTCTTTTGTGTATTTGTGCTAGTCTGAAGAATGAACATACTAATATTTTGGACACTCATCCACATGAGGCTAAAGGTCCCTCTCACCATGTCTTTCTTCCCTTCCTCCCGGAACTGAACAGCATGCAAAGGTATTGCACTGCCTTTCTTCAGGCTTCCTCATCTTTTGCTGGGACCATTGCAGTACTCCCCCAGTGGTTCCTCTGTCTCCATAATGCCCCCATACTAGTGGAATCCATGGGTGGTGCCAGCTACTAACCCTAAGACCTCCATGGTGTCTTAAAAGAGAAGCAACCCCTAAAAATGAGCACCTGATAGCCCAAAGGAACACAGCGCTACTCTGACACATATGGGGTCGCTATGAGTCAAAACTGATTCCACGGCAACTGACGTAGTTTTTGGTTTTTTAAAGCAAACTTTCTAAAATAATGTCTAATAAAGTCCCCCACCCTGGATGATTGCATGTCCCTAGTGTGCTGGACTGCAAAGTTGGTTTGAACCACAAGGTTGGTGGTTCACCAGCCGCTCCTTGGAAACCCTATACAGGGTTGCTATGGGTCAGAACTGATTCAACGATACTTCATAACAACCTGGGTACTGAGTGAATGCTGATTAAAACAAAGTGGAATGATAATCCACCTTGTTTAGTGGTGAGTCTAAGAAAGTGAATTCCATGACTGACAGTAACAGTGCCCAGCTCTGAACTCAGGGTTTTATACGCCTGTTTTCAACAACCTGGTGTGGTGCTGTAGGATAAGCACTGGACTGCAAGGTCACAAGGTTCAAACTCATCAGCTGCTCCTTGGAAACCCTACATAGATTTGCTATGAGTCAGAACCAGCTTGACGGCATTTAGCAACTTAACATTTCCATTGTCTTCACCACTGTAAAGATGAGGAAACTAAAGCTTAGTGAGGTCAGGTAACTTGTTCAGGGTCCAATGGCTAAAGTAGAAAACTAGGCAGTCTGATGCTCATGGAAGCAGCAGTCAACAAAGCCAACAACATACTGCATTAGGCAAATCTTCTGCACAACACCTCTTGAGTTTGAGAACTAAAGAGCATCTGACCCAAGCCATGGTATTTTCAATAGCTTCATATGCATTTGAAAGTGAATAAGAAAGATCGTAAAAGGATTGATGCATTTGAGTCATAGTGTTGGAGAAGAATACTGAAAGCACCATGGACCGTCCAAAGAATAAACAAATCTGTGTTGGAAGATGTACAGTCAGCATGCTCTTTAAAAGTCAGGATGGTGAGACTTTGTCTCTCATACTTTGGGTTTATTATTGGGAGGAACCAGTCCCTATAGAAGGATATTATGTTTGGTAAAGTCAAGGGTCAACCAAAAAGAGGAAGACCCCAATATAATGGAATGGCACAGTGGCAGCAGCAGTGGGCTCAAGTGTAATGATTGTGAGGATGGTGCTGGACCGGGCAGTGTTTCATTCTGTTGTATATAGGGTCGGTCGCTATGAGTCAGCTAACTCTCTGGCATCTAACCACAACACTATGCAACAACGTCTTCATCAAATCGCTCATTAGGGTCCCTACAGCAATGGTAAAACTCATTGTAGAGCGAAAGGAATGACCATCTATGCCTCTTGATGACACTGCAGGTTCAGTGTTACCAAGTATTTGTGTTGATCTTAGCCCTGAGTGGCAGTCCCTCTCTTCAGAGTCCTGCCTCACTAGCAGTGAGGTGTGGAAGAAGTAACATGGCTCCAGTCCCTGTCTTGTATGACCAGATCAGTCTTGGGATGCTTGGAACCCTTGAGCTGCCTGTCCCCAACCTCCCATCTTATGCCAGAGTTTCTGTCTCCTTCTGAGCATCTGCCTTGCCAGGGATTTCACCTTCTTGGAGGAGCACAATTCCCCTGCCTATGAATTGTTACCTTCCTTTATCACAGGTTACACCTTGATCACCACTCCAGGCTGCTGCCAAGGAACCCCTCTGAATCAGAGGAACTGCTGGGAGTGTGGGGCTCCCGTCCATCTACTCAGTCAATGGGGTCAATGAGAACCCTTCTGGTTGGGTTTCCTCCTGTACCTGAGGAATTCTTGAGTGAATAATGCCAGGTAAGACACAGCCCTCTGAATCTCTCCTTAGAGACTTCAGGATCTACTCATCCTGGAGTCAGATCCCTGTCTGCCTCTCTGGCTGAAATCTACCATGCTCAGTCAGCCCAGCCAAGTGTGACAGAGAGGTTGAAATAAAGCTTCTAGTTTTGGCATGTGAACCCAAAGCTGGAAACACCAAGGATTATCTGATAACTAATTCTAAGTAAAGAATCGTAATAGCTTTTTTTTCCCTCCATGACCCCCAAGCTGGCATCTCAGGGCCTCCCAGAAGGACACCTACAGGATATAATATTCCCGTATCGGTTCTTATTGCGGTTTTCATCCTCTTTGGCTGTGTCCCATGAAGCTGTCTGCCCCTCCGGTAAAGCCTGGAAAACAAGGACAGAAGTGATTAGAGTGGCCTGAAGTAGGAGCTTTATCCAGATGTGTATGAGCCAGCAGGGAGATGATGGGACTCTCAGTAAAAGGTCCATAGGGCACAGACCCAGCTCCTCCAAAAAATTATTTACTAATTCATTGACACAAATGTCATTTTTATCTTCAGTGTGTCATGAGGTCAGTGTAGTCCAGAAGAGTTTGATCATTCGATCATTTAATATTTATTGAGTTAGGAACTATTCTAGGTACTAGGGATACAGACAGCAAGATAGACAACGTCCCCATTGAGCTTCTAGTAGAGTGGAGTGGGAGGCTGAAGTAAACAAACAAATATAAATCATTTTAAGTAGTGGAAACGGATGTGAAGAAAATAAAGCAAGGTAGAGAGACAGTGATGGGAGGTGAGGATTGTATCAGATTACATGATCTAGGAAGGTTACTCTGAGAGGGTAACATTTAAGTTGATATTTGAATGATGAGAAAACCAGCCATGCCAAGAACAGGAAGTTCTTTCTGGACAGAGGGATCAGTAGATACAAAGGTCATCAGGCAGGAATGGAATGACCACATTCCAGGACTAAGGTGAAGCAGAAGGAGAGTGATGATGGAACAGCTCAAGAACAGGAAATGTCAGATTGGATAAGGAATTTTGATCGCTGATGAGCAGTTGGGTATTTTTCTAAGTGTGATGGAAAACCATTGGAGGGTTTTCATCAGGGGAGTCATCTGATCTGATTTGTGTTTTACAAAGATCATTCCAGCTCATGTGTGGATTACAGGCTCTAAGAGGGCCAATGTGAAAACAAGAAAACCAGTTAGGAGATTGTTGCAATAGTACAGGTAGTAGAGATTGGTACCACGGGCCCTTGAATCAAGGATGGTGAGAGTGGAATTGATGAGAAGTGATTATATTCAGAGTATTTAGTTGAGTATTATCTTGATTTTGGTTATCCCAGAAGAAGACTCAGAAACAAGGATTTGAGTACAGCTAATTTTTTTTGGAATCAATCCCAAGGTATATGGGTAGAAGAATGGGTAAAGAGAAGAGAATGCATCAATATAGGTTACGTGAATGAACAGTTTACCTCCATCTAATCCCTTGGGAGGAGACCTAGTGTGGTACTGTAGGCTAATGCATCAGACAGCAAAGTCATTTAAACTGCAAGGTTGGTGGTTCAAGCTCACCAGCTGCTCCTTGAAAACCCTACATAGGGTCGCTATGGGTCGGAATCAACTCGATGGCACTCAACAACAACAACAATCCCTTGGGCATATTTCATGACTCAGAATTGTCCCTCTGGAAGGATAAAGAAGTTGGGATATTTTCCTACCAATTCTCACCTGTTCTTGGTTGAGGACAACTCTAGAAAACTCCAGGGAGTGTTCCTTTGGCATAAGGAAGTTCTCAGAGAAATTGTCACAAATTCTTTCAGAAGTATCATGGTACCAGAGAGTAAAGAGACAGCATGCCCCCATCAGTATCAAGTTTAGATGTGGATTAAGAAGAATAAACTTTTACTCCCAGATTTTGGTTTGAAGAACTGAGTGGAGAAAGATGTCACTTACTGAGATGGAGGAGGAGTAGGATTATGGATGCAGAAATTAAATGTTAAGTTTTGGATACAAAAATGCTTAGATAAGTACCCAGCACATAGTGAGTACTGTGTACTTAATTATCATGCTCAATGTAATGATAATAAAATAATACCAGCTAATGTTGAGATGCCCCCAAGTTGAGATGTTGAGTAGGACATTGGACATATGTGTCCAGAGCTTGTGGAGACTGTGAAGAGATGGTTTTCATCAACTTAAGATGAAGGCAGTCTATGAAGAGACAGAGCCATAAACAAATGTGGAATGATTTAGTAGCGTTATGAGCCAACTGTTACAGAGGCACATGGGGGAGGACTGTCAGTTACTTCACAGAGAGGAGGACAGGAAGAGAACTAGAGAAGCTAAAGAAGCATGAAGGTCATGACACATTTTGATTACTCTCTCCTTCCTTCCCCTGGCATGGAAGATGGAATGCCCTGCTCAGTGCCCTCACACTGCTTCCAAGACTGCATTTGCAACATCTCTGATCTCCCCACAGCAAGTACTTCTTGTCAGTAGCACAGATGAGAGGAGCTTCCAGTCATCTTAATAAGGCATCCACTCCTTACCAGGCTTATCCTAAGTAAGGAAGAATGTGTAACCTGATTAACCACCAACTGAGCCATTCAATAGACCATGATCTATCAAAAGTCCAGCATCCATGCATAGTGACCCCTTTCCTGAATCCAGTCTTCCATGTGTTAAGCCTAACTGGGTGGGTCTTCTTCTAGAGCAAGGATCTGCAAATTTTACTATAGATAGGCAGATAATAAATATTTTAGGCTTTGTGAACCATACTAAATCTCATAACAAATTTTACTGTGAAAGCAGCTGCAGACAATGTATAAACACGTGACCATAATTGTGTTCCAATAAAACTTTATCTATAAAAATCAGTGATTGGGGCTGAGCTTAGCCTTCAGCTGTAGTTTTCTGAACTTTGTTGGAGAAGCATGACCATCATTCTCATCTATGCAGTGGTTTGGTATGTGGAATTGCAGTTCATTGTGCTGACCTAACCATTTTAGATTCAGTGCAGAGGGAGTGGGAAGTACTTGCTGGATTTACTGGATTAACCCATGCTCTCCCACTTAGTATTTCTCAGGGCTTTAGATTAGAGCGATAAGGTGTCTTCCCAGGTATTAATTGATCAGAATTGTGTTTAGACAGGTATCTAGACAGGTTCCGTGCTCTACGGACCAATCTCTTCCCTAAATCTGGGTTTAACAAAAATGCTATGGAGACAGAGAAATGTTCATTTGACAAATATGGGAAATGCTTTTTCCTCTTCTTATTTTCCTCTTCTTCCTCCTCCTTCTTCTCCTTCCTTTCTGCTCATTATAAATGATCCTCACTCTGTCACCAGCTTAGGCCATCACAAGACATAAAGGGTTCTTGCTTCTTCATGAAACTCTTAGAACTCAGATTTTAGCTCCTGGCCTCATCTTCCCACCCCAACAAGGTGGCTCAGCCCTTGCAGGCAACTTGCCAGGTCTACATATCCTTGAATCTCTGAAGGGAGAGGGAAGTTTACCTAAGTGAGTTCACTGGATTTATTACTATTAAGCTGATCTTCTAGGGGTGTGTTAATCATCACAAATCCCCTTATGATAAAGTCAGCTGTTCACCCAAACACCCACCCCCCTCAAAAAAGTGGTGTGAAAAGGTGGGGCTTGATGGCAGCTAAGGTGGAGGTGCCGGGAAGTTCGCCGTTAGCCATACCACAGAATACCAGGCAAAGCAGATCCAGAACAGAGCTCCAAAACTCAGAACCACAGAGATAGGAATATTTAAAAGTCTGAAGGCTTATAACTAGTGGAACTTGTAGCAAAAGTACAAAATCGCATACTTTTGAATCTGCCAGTCTCGGCAGCCCTGAGCCGACAACTTGGGTGAAACCAAACTGCAAGACCAAGTGGGGGAGCAGACACAGCACTGAAAAATGCCGTGGAAACCTCGGAGCAAAGGTGGACAATACACTTTGTCAGTTTTGCTTTGTTCTGATTTTGGTGGGTTTTTTTGGTATCTATTTATTGCCCCCCCCCACCCCACTGTTTGTACACCTCCATTCTGGTGACTAGAGGGGGTGAATGAGCGAGTGGACAACCCCATACCATCACCACTGGTGGGTTCCTCTGCCACTCATGGCAGAGATACTCTCAGCCCGCAAGTTGGCCCTGAACTGTTTTTTGTTTTTGTTTTTGTTTTTGTTTTTTTAATATGGTAAAGGCCAGGAAAAGGGTGCAGAGAGGGAAAGAGAGTTTAAAAACAAAACAGGCCAAAAATTAAATTGAATCCTGAGGTACAGCCTAACAACCAACAGTGGCATCTTGAAATCTTTAAGGCTGCTTTGAAGGCAAGAAGCGAGAGAGAACATTAAAGTCATACTCATATTAAGCTACAGATATTTTATTTCTCTCCCTCCGCTCCTTTTTCTGCATTTATAGACTACAGTATCAAATCTAGTTTTGTCTTTTCATTGTTGTTGTTGTTGTTGCTTTTTTTTCTTTTCTTTTTCTTTTTCTTGCTTTTATGCTGGTGCTGTTTTGCTATTGTATGCTCCCCTTTCTACCTTTGGGGAACTCTTTCTCTCCCTATATTACCCAAGAAGTGACAGAAACTGCTGCCATATAGTCAAGCTACAACCACACTCTATAAAACACCAAAACCCAGGCAAGAACCAATACCAACTGCCATGTACCAGGGAGGCAGACAACACCTGTGAAAGTTACTCTGAGTTAAGCAATAAGAAGAGTGAAAAGGGAAGCCCACATCCTGATCACATCTACCTGGAAGCAACCAGCATGAAAAATACCAAACACAGACTCAATTAAGTATTAAGACCACAGATAAACACTAAATATTTCCAAAGTAAAAGCAGATGACCATATCAGCACATGTCCAGAAACAAGATAAAACGTCTGAGACAATTGACCTGGAGGTAGACCTGGAATCCATTCTGGAAGGAGAGCAGGCCTTGGAAATGTCTGAGAAGGAATTCAGAAAAATGATTATAAAATGTTTCAAAACAGTTTACAATGGAGTTGAGAAAAATAAGGAAGAAGTAAGGAGAGTGCTACAGAAACAATCAAATAAGATAGATACTGCATTGGAAACAATTCCAAACCTACAGAAAGATATCCATATGATCAATAACAGAATATCAGAAATAGACAATACTCTGAAAGGACAAAAGAGTAGAATAGATGAGATGGAAGGCATAAGCAGTGAGCAGGAGAACAATTCTCTCAATGCCACTAAGGTAGAGAAAACAGAAAAAAGGATAAAAAAATCTGAAGAAGGTCTAAGATTCATGTTGGACAACAAGAAGAGGAATAACTTAAGAAATATCAGCATTCTGGAACAAGAAGAATCACACAAGTCCATAAAGGAAATA